TCCTGGAAAGCGCCAGTCGGTAAGGTAGGGTAGATAGATGCGTCCCTGCTTGTCCACCGTCTTCGACTCCTTCAGCATCATGCTCGGCGTCGGACAAACATAGCATATGGGCGCATAATATGGATGCGTATCCCACAGATACAGCGCCACTGGAATGTTGTACGTATTACCCTGAAATAAGCAAGAAAATGTACACAGAGGGATGCGAGAGATGCACCGCAAGCAAACAGTACCTTGTATACAACAGGAATGGTACCCTTGAGACGGAAGGAGAGGGCCCGAGTTCTGTCCGGATAGACAAAATGCTCAACATCGGGCGCCAAATCCGGGAAGGCACTCAGCGCCGCCAGGATGTCATTCTTCGCTGTATCCACATACTTCGCTTTTGCGCGACTCAGTAAAGCAATGACTGCTGAAGGGATCGCATTGTTTGACATCTGAAACAGCTGAAAACAGCACAACTCAAGCCAACGACGAAGTGAGCCGGCGCCCCGCGCCTTTGGGCACCCGCACACCGCCCTGTACCCGCAATTCCCTCGTCAAATTTTTCGGCAAAAACTGAGATATGGCACTTCGCTCACAAAAAAGCAATCACTGAAAATTCGCTGCTCTCCAGCACCACACCATCCAGGAGCTTAAGCCACCTGATGCAACGACGCTGATTTTGCACCGCGAAATTGACAAACCCGTCGGAATGCCAAGAAGCCAAGCGCAAGCGTATTTCTTGCTGCATTTTCGTCCCTTAAGAAGGAACCTCTCTGAAACCGAGCGCAGCAGGCAATTCTCGGATCCTGACAACTCAATTCGGTCCTGGAGGCACGTCTCCGCACCTGCGTGCCTTCCAGAACGACAAGCAAACGTCAACTGAGATCAGCAGCTGGTACTCCAAGAATGCCAAACCTGGGCAACGTGTTGCACTGAAAGACCGCCATGGTCCTACTCGAAACACAGGCACCCCCACGGCCGCACCCACCACCCGTACGTACCCACGAAACGACCCAGGATTATTTACCGCAAATGGCTTCCAACCTCGAAATACCTGGGAATTGATTGCATTCAGTACGTGAACAAGACATCGCTCCACTTACGCTTGAGTGTGGCCCGCCGTCACGACGCCAGAGTGGTTTGGGATTGCTTTGAAAGGCGGGGGAAGGCGCGGGGGTAAGCGGGCCGGCGTGGGAGGACTCGCATGGGAGCAAGCCTGTACAGCAGTCCTTGGCTTGCGAGCCACAAGTTGTTATGCATGTAGCAGCATCGAGAGGCTTCAGTCTTCCTCAGAATCTTTTCCCACTGGGGCAGTGCTCATCGCAAAGCAGGGCCCTGTGTGGCCCAACCGAAGACCCTTGGGAAGTTCGGTTTTGCAGGCAACTACTAAAACTCGGCTGAGCTTGCCACGCACTCGCTTGTGCGTTTGGGCGTAAGCTGCGAAGTCACAATCGCACACAAGCGCCGGATTATCTTTCCAGGTGAGACTTTAGAAATCCCACAGAAGCTTGCAAGATTTCACGGGACATCATAAACCCACATAACCCTGTTCCCCCTCCATAATTGCCGCCCTTTGTTTCTAGTTCCTATCTCCAGACAAGACCCCACCTCTCCCCCTCCAGTACCCTGACCCCCCTCCCTCCCCACGCCACACCCCCCTGCAGGACCGAATGCAGTACTGCCGGCCTTCTCCAATCCTCTTCCATCTGACAGTTACAACTCGGCTCGGCCCTTCTCAAACACGATCTGCCGAATTTTTTTACGGAAGGCTGGTAATGCCTACCCACGGCGGATGGCGGGAGTTTGGATGTGGGAAGTGGGGGATGGGGTGGTATGTGGCGGGTTTCGTTCGAGGCAAGGGGGGAGGGGGGAGCTAGGATAGGTGGATATAAGGACTAAATGACGTAGATTCTTTGCCAGTAGACTAAGTAACGTACATTTGAGGGGAGAGGAGAGCGGCAAAGAACGGAAAGGATAAGGAAGTGCGCTCCTGAGACTTTCCTTTTTATGAAACTGATGCTTAGGTAAAGCTGTTTCACAAAAGCCAGTCATTAGGCGTCTTTATTTATGAAATTGATGCTTAGGTAGAGTTGTTCCAAAAAAAAACCGATCATCCGACTTCCCTTTTTATGAAATTGATGCTTAGGTAAAGCTCCGCAAAAACCCGTCATTAGGCTTCTTTAATTGCGAAATTGATGCTTAGGTAAAGTTGTTCCACAAAAACCCATCATCAGACTTTCCTATTTATGAAACTGGTGATTAGGTAAAGCTGTTCAGGAAAACCCATCATTAGGAAATTGATGTTTAGGTAAAGCTGTCCTACAAAAGTCCGTCATTAGGCTTCCCTATTTGTGAAAATGATGCTTAGGTAAAGCTGTTCCATAAAAACCGCCATCAGATTTCCTTATGAAACTGATGCTTAGGTAAAGCAGAGACCGAATAAGTTCTATGAAGTGGGCAAAAACAGGGTACAGTGGATGCCTGGGAATGAAGTATTTTTAGCCTTTGCTCCTGTGAGATTTTGAAGACAAAAAAAACAAAGGTATAACTGTTGTGCACAGTTGCA